CTGTTATAACATCAGCATTGTAATAGGAATACATACTAGAGTTGATTTTGATAATGCAATCAAAGCTTACGTGAAAAATCCCTTCTATGCAGTGAGTTTTGCCTTCCCATCACTTCCAACAACTTCCTGGATTCCCAGTGTGCTTTGTGTCTCTTTCCCTGCTGCTTGATGTGATAAAATCTCAGTTTCCCATACTACATTGCCCATGATACATTGCTTCCAGCAAGCAATGATAATGTTACATTGTTTAGATGTTGGAAATGCATATTTATTTTTAATTTTGACCATAGCTGCCCTTTAAAGGAGAACTATGGGGTTAAGTCTTTTCCCCATAGTTCACCGTAGGGTAACGGGAGGACACAAACTAACGTCCTCCCGTCACCCTAGGCTCAGTATACCATGAGCTGTAGCTCACGGTACACTGAGACTACGCAGTATACCGCGAGCTGCTGCTTGCGGTATACTGAGACGCCGCAGCTGAAGCGGATCCAATTATGCCGGGATCCGCCCAGCTGCTTGAGTGGCAGCTGGCACTGCCTATCTAGAGGCAGAGCCAGCTGTACCCGCCCCCTCCCCCGTCCGTTCCGCCAGTCAGCACTGGCGGATCGGAGCGTGGAGGGGGGAATCCAGCCCCTCCCCTGTCACGGGAGAGAGCCGTGCCAGGATCGAGAGGTGAGCGAACGCCGGTATGTGACAGTCTAATTGTCACAGGTCGGCTAGAACTATGAGGTGAGTGAAAAGGACTCACCTCATAGTTCTCCTTTTAAACTATCACAGAAAAATTGTGTGGGTCGCCTCTACCCTAGCTCCTTACATTGATCTCTCCCCCTAATAAGTTGTATATATACAAAAAAGTAGAGGAAAGGGTTTGTGGAGAGATATATCAGACCATGCGTAAAACGATATCAAATTTATTGTACATAAAATAAATTGCAGTAAAAACATTACTTGATTATTACAATGGATAAGACTTATAAATAGCATCATTACATACATGAATGTAGTAACCCAATTATTGCCCAACCAGGTTCATCCCTTCTCATTGATTGGCCTGACATACATAAATTAATTTGTTAAATTCTCAAACATATAGGTCATGATTTGTAGAAGATGATCAATTCATTGGTGTGTTCTTCAAACTATATTTCAGATACTTCGTCCCAACATGATTGTTCCAACATGATTATTCCCTACGCGTTTCGCACTAAAGCTTCCTCAGGGGATCAAGTTAATCTATAAAAAATTGGAAATGAAATTGTTTGCATTATATGTCATCATATTTGGGCATGCCCATCTTGATGTAATGCCTGAATAACATACTACTGGGGTTGATCTCATATGTGGATGGCCCCACAGCGACCGGGCATGTGGTACTCACCTGCGTGAAGCACCTGGAGGTGGATCGAAAATGGTGAGGACACGAAATAGGGGTGGGTGGCTAATTCTAGCCCTACCATCCCATAGCGTCCATCATCTCCACCGGGACCCCGGGGCCTCAAGGGGAGGAATGTCCTGGGCAATGTAGGAGAGCCAAAAAATCTCCATCTGGAGCAGTAACCTGAGAGGAACATATGGTCAAGAGTCAGCTAGTATTTATGAAGTTGGTTCCTATTTATAAACCTAGTGCATGGCGGTGTACAAAGTGAAAGTACATTTCTTTAAATATGGCAGGACCCCTATGGTTTACATCTACTTTAATAGGAAACACACAGAATGCACACAGGTCGGTTTGCCTTCTTTGGTTTTCCTAAAGCTGTCCACACATTGTAAAGTTTGTATTGTCTGCTTAGATTTGGCAAAGACTGTATATTGTGAAGGCCTTTCTTAGCAGTCTGCTCCATTTATATTTAATCAGGTAGACACTTGTATTACATGTTTCTAGGTAAATCCAATTATATCTTTGGATCTGATGGACATTTTGACATGTGGTTTCCATGGTTGGTAACCTCTGCTTGTGCATTTTTGCCAAGTTTGAATTGCTCAGGTTTTGTGCCATGTTTATAGGAATCTGAACATGTGAGTAACATGAAAGCTGCCAATGTGAATCTCTGCAGATATCTTGAGCTTCAGCAGTTTTAGCCAGAGAGCCAGAACAGGTATGGAGATGAGGACTTCTCACTCTGCTGATCTTCATACTTGTTCTAAGACCATGACTTGGGAAGTTCTAAACCTATAAGGTCAGCATAACAGCTAGTCAGGTGGCAATTTTAAAACAAGGTAAACAGTGACAGCCCCCATATTTCTGATGATCAATATTCTGGATGAAAGAATAAGGTGGTAGTCTTTAGGTGTGTGTAGAAGTGCAGCGCTAATGAGTGTTGAATTTTATATTTGAACACAGCACTACTGAAGTGCATGTATTTGGGCACCGGAGCTGCGTCTGACCAACTTTTCCCTGCAACACGAATGTTGTGCTTAATGAAACACACAGCATGTCAAATTCCTCATTGCATCATATACACTACATAATTAAAGTGACTTTTTTTTAAAGTTAACTAAAAAAATCTCACAAATATAAAGTGATGCAGAGCCAATGTGATTGCACACTGATATGTCTCTTTCTGGTGGTGCCAAAATCACCCCCCCACCTCTCACACATTACTACTGATCAGTGTGACAGCCATAGTTAATGTACCATAGCAGGGCTCAAAATTTCCCCTCGCCTGCTTGCATTTGGCAAGTAAAAATAAGGTGAGGGTGAGTGGAAATTTGGGTCTCCAAGTACCGGTCCACCGCCCAACTCCGGCCCGCGAGCCGGTACTATGTGGCCCACAGCCAGCTGACATGTCGGGCAGATTTGCGGGAGCAGATCCGCGGTCTGCATCTGTGTCGGATGCAGACCGCATAGCAGCTCCTGTCAGCTCCGGCTTCCTCCGGCCGAAGGAAAGAATGTATGTGAGCAGGATCGATGCTTGGGGGTTAATAAGGGGGGAGTGTATTATTTTATGTGTGTGGGGAAATTTTATTATATTTGTGCAGGGGAGGTGTAACGTTGTTGAGCAGTGTATTATTGTGCTTTACGCTTGCCATACACCTTACAACCATCGCACGACATTCGTTGTGCGATGGTTGTAAGGTCATTAAAATCTCGTACAATCTGCCCATCTTGGACAGGCAGATCGTACTTGTGATCATCGCAATATTCTTATCATGAGATAAGAATTATCAAAAGATTATTTAAGAGGGTGTGTTTAGGGGCGGAGTTAAGGCCGGGTAAGGGTTAGGTGGGGCAACTGGTGGCTAGTGACTCTTAAGGCCTGGCTTAGGACTTGAAATTTTGAGCCCTGTACTATAATTGGGGCAACTGGTGGCTAGTGACTCTTAAGGCCTGGCTAGTAGCTTAGGACTTGAAATTTTGAGCCCTGTACTATAGGACTGTATGGAGGGCGACAGAGAGTAGGCAAGCACCAGGAAATGTTATGACTCAGAACAAGCCCGGATTCAGGCAGAGTGGGAGCAATGAAAATGACAAAAGTGGATGCATGTAAATGTAAATACAAAGGTAGTAAGTATGTGGAGATACCTCTGAGCGACAGAGATAGTTTAAAGAGAATACATTCTAAACTTGGGATTAAAGCATATTTCAAAGTGAAACAAAGCTCCTTTTGCACAAGCTTTTAGGCAGTTGGTTTGTTAACCACCTCTGCCTGTTATGAGAAGAATTCACCTTTTCTGCTGCCTATATGCTCAGGCAAGCTGCAAGATTTTTCTTTCTGAGAAGAGGGTGGTGCCTTGCTTTACATTTACATTACTAAATGCCAACCTGGCATAGATCCCGCTGCAGCGCATGGACTGTACCTTTCTTCTTTAGAGTTCCCATGAGGATATCAACACTGATCTATACAGGCTGCAGCATTCGTAGAGATCTTTATATAACCGGTACACATTTATACTTTCCAGCATTCTGGTTACTATTTGCATATATCAGTAAATTACCTTTATTACAAGCCTCCATTGACCTCTGTGGCTGCAGACACTGTGGAGAAATTCATCTTCAAAGTTCACAGTAGAAGCACTACCTCCCACCAGTAACTGAGCAACTCAGCCGTCTCCTTCTTCCCCCTCCCAGTGGTTATTCAGGAGCTTAGCCCACTGCTTCCTCTTCCCAGCAATGACTCAGCAGCTCAGTTCCCCCTGCCTCACCTTCCCAGCAGAGACTCAGCAGCACAGCTCCCACTGCTTCACCTTCCCAGCAGAGACTCAGCAGTTCAGCTCCCACTACTTCCCCTTCCAACCAGAGACTCCTCAGCTCCCCCTGCGTCACCTTCCCAGCAGAGACTCAGCAGCACAGCTCCCACTGCTTCCCCTTCCAACCAGAGACTCCTCGGCTCCCCCTGCTTCACCTTCCCAGCAGAGACTCAGCAGCTCAGTTCCCACTACTTTCCCTACCCACCAGAGACTCAGCAGCTCCGCTCCCCCTGCTTCACCTTCCCAGCAGAGACTCAGCAGCTCAGTTCCCACTACTTTCCCTACCCACCAGAGACTCAGCAGCTCCGCTCCCCCTGCTTCACCTTCCCGGCAGAGACTCAGCAGCTCTGCTCCCCCTGCTTCACCTTCCCAGCAGAGACTCAGCAGCTCCGCTCCCCCTGCTTCACCTTCCCAGCAGAGACTCAGCAGCTCAGTTCCCACTACTTTCCCTACCCACCAGAGACTCAGCAGCTCCGCTCCCCCTGCTTCACCTTCCCAGCAGAGACTTTGCATCCTTCTCACCATTAATGTAAACACAGCACAGGAGCAGTCAGTAGCCTGGATACAGGCTCATTTTAAGTATTTTCACCTTGTCTGTGCACCACACATATGTCTTTTGTATGATATGTTGCATTTTAGAATGTATTACTTGGACTCATGACCTTTGCTACTAATACTTATTTTAGAATATACTTCTGTATATTGTGTGTCTTCATCTGTGCTGCAGGTATATTCTGTCTTGGGAGGCAATATAAAGGCACTTTTATTTTTTTCTAGGAGTTTTATTTATGTGACTTCATTTTTTTTTTCAGGTTGCCTTTCCAACCTTCCCCCAATGAAGAAAGCGTCTCCATCATATGAGGAGAGGAGGAAGCAAGCCACTGCTATAGTCTTGCTGGGGGTAATTGGAGCAGAATTCGGAGCAGAGATTGAGCCCGCAAAGCTTCTAACCAGACCGCGCAGTTCTAGTCAGATTCCAGAGGGGTTTGGACTGACCAGTGGAGGCTCCAACTACTCGCTTGCCCGACATACTTGTAAGTAAAAAAGGGCTGTTTATTGAAGTTGGTGTTGTAGGTGTTGTGAGATGGAATAACTTCCTACAATGCTGGCTAAAAAGTTGTAAAAGTATTTTCTGTTTGATCATTTGTGGGTCCTTTTTGTTTTTTAAACCAAGGCTGCAGAGCAAACAAGCAAGTCCCTGCAGTGTTTTTAGTTTGGAAGACCAGTGGGTTCAGTCAACAAACAGCTTTTTACATCTGTGACTCCAGTTTCCATTTTTCCCTTTTATAGTTTGTGTCCCATGTGTCTCCATTAGAAAGAAGTCAGCCTTTCAGACAATACATTATTTTTACTCCCCAGAAGGCCGACACCATTTTTGTTCAGGTATAATCCAGGATCTGCATTTATTGCCTTAAATTAGGTGCTGGCTTATAGCTGACACAGACACGGAATTCCCTGTTCTTGCACAGTAGTCTTTATGTTCTTGGCTGTGTCTCAAACAGATCAGCTCCTCACCTGCTGCCTGTCAACTTGTGAGTTGCCAGAGTTAGTGGTGTACAGTACTGCTGAGCATCCGTGGGGGTGGGGGGCGGGGGTTGCTGTGCCAAGGAATTACTTCCCCCCCTTACTGCAGCAGATAAGAGATGAGCAAATCTGCCTACGTTCAGTTCACTAATAGTTTTGCGATTCCTGCTCGAAGTTTTCAGATTCTGCATCTAAAACCACTGAAGGGGTTCCATGAGGTTCAAATCTTGTGTCATAGTCGAGTTCAATCTATAGAGATATGGAAAAAAAGAAGCAAAGTCTAAACAGAACGCTATGCCCACAATTACCCATCGTTGTTATTCAATTCTGGTCATTTGTAGGGCTAATAATCAAGTTATCATCAAACAAAAAGGCATAGAAAGCCAGACACTGCCTGCCATGGCGGATATGTATCAATGCCAAAATAGAAAATTACAAAATTGTCAGCTCTCTCTAACCGTGTAAACGCACATTGACAATATGGCTGCTGTGAGCTCACCTTCTTAAAAAAAAGGGGGTTGGGTTATCCAGTCACTTAAATTATTGGCTGTTGTGACTGATCGGAGGGAAGCCTATGTGCATAGCATTATAGATTGTTCCCTATTTCTGGAGGCAAAGCTGCAAAGTTTTCAGCGATTCACGAATGTTGCAAATCCTGGGGATTCATTGTGAACCCATGGTATCGGTGACCCCAGACTTCATCCCTACCTCAGACTGATGATATTATTCTCCCGAGATGTTCTCCTTGGGCTTAGTCAGACTAGAATGCAAGGGTTTATTTTTAACAGTAAGTCGTTTTTTTGTTTTTAATTTCTGTTGCTGTACATTGTGGAATGTCAAGTATTTTATTCATACACATTTTTTAAATTGCTGATTTCAATTTAAAATGCTTTTACATTACCAAGGGGTCCATTTAAAAATGTTTACACACAAGGTTTACACAACTTTCACCCACATTTTTATAATTCGATTTCATTGGAAAAATGTTTGAATGCTGGGTTCAAGTTGTGTGAAAACATTTATAAATAAATGGCCAAGTACTTTTTTCTTCTCAAAGTATTTACATTTACTTGAATCTGGTTAGTTTTTCTATCAGGCTGTCAACAATCTAACTGGCACATCATAGAGTTTCTGCTGAAGGAGGGATGTGACAGAGCTGTCAATCAATCAAGTCCCTCTCACATTTCTTGTTATGTAATTGATGGATAAACTCTTTTATAGTCCATGAATGAATAATGTAGACATGGTAGCCAATACTTATAATACATGCTCTACCTTTACTTTCAGTAAATAAGATTTGTCCCATATATGAGAATAACTTGTAAGGGCCCATCCAGACTAATTTGTTTGTATTTTTTGTGTCAGTGCTTGTTTCAAAAACCTAAACTTAGTGGGCCAAGCTCAGGGTTCTAGTGGAGGAACACATTTCATATGTGTATGTGGTTTTGGCAGAGTAGCTGGTATAGGACTTAAGGTGCCCATACACTGCACGATTCTCGTACGAGAATCGCCGGAAATCCCACGATCGTACGAGAATCGTGCAGTGTGAAGGAAGACGTGCGACCGTTTCTACTGTACGGTCGCACGTCTTTTGTCTAAGGAGCACGCTAGAAAACCAGCCGAGAATTGTACGATTTTCGGCTGGTTTTTAGCATGATCGTAAGATCAATGCTGCACGGGCCAGTGTGCGCAGGCTCACACTGCACGTTCAGCATTGCTGTCATCAGAAGCCCGCCCCTTAAGGGGGGCGGGCTTGCTATGATCGCAAGTACGATCTGCCTGTCCAAGATGGGCAGATCGTACGTTTTTTTAATTACTTTACAACCATCGCAAGACTAAGGTCTTGCGATGGTTGTAAAGTGTATGGCCACCTTTAAAGTCATCATCTGTGGTCATCGGCAGGTTGGTGTGGCTGAAGTGTTGGTCAGCTGACCAAGTGCCTAAGAAATTTCTTAAGTATCCGCCATTTACAGGGGATTGACTTTTCAGCGTTATGATCAATGAGATCATCAACAACTTCACTGGAGGAGAGTACGCTCTTGATATGCTGAAACCAAGGATTCTCATTGCAATACTAGGCCTACCTTTTTAGCTGTGGTTTTTTTTTTCCCTTTTGTTTACCAGGAAGTCCTCCAAGCTCTCTACCGCCACAGGGGCTAAGAATCCCTGGCAGTCCAAGCCTACAAAATTCATGGAGAAACCCTCCTCCACACTGTTTTTTTGGGGGGACAACTTTTAGCATTCACAGACTGTTGACTAACCCATATGTCTAGGTAGCTTTTGGGCTATAAAATTGAGTTTCACACTCCCCCTCCACAGAGGTTTTTCCTCTCCAACCTGTGCCTTTTTACCCAGTGGTTATTGGATTTACAACTGGCTGTCAAGGGACTCCTGGTCCAGGGAATGGGGATTCCAGTTCTGGTTGTGAAGAGAAAATAGATTTTGTTTTCAATGAACCATAAAATCCTTTTCTCTGTATTTATGGGAGGACACAGCACATTCCCCTCTCGCTTTTCTGCTGCCCATGTGTTTACAATTGTTCTTTTTTGCACTACTGTGTCATTTAACTGAGCTTGTTCTACATTGAAGGGGTTTTGGCTACCACCCGAGGTCATCCCTGGGCTGTTTTTTGTTTTTCTTTAGTTGTACGTATCGTCCAACTCTTGCAGGTGGCACAATACCCAGTAGGTGATGATTTAAAGCAGAGCTGTGTCCTCCAATGATTGCAGAGAAAAGGATTTTATCTTGAGTACAAAAACGATCCTATCCTTACTGCTCGTTACCGCAGAGCATCACATTAAGCTAAAACTGTTTCGGTGAGCATACCAGATTATTATATATGTGCTGTGGTACACTACATTAAACATGGTAAATGTCTGGTAAAATTTGTGTTGCTTTATCACAATTATTATTATTATAATATAGGATTTATATAGCGCCAACAATTTGCGCAATGCATGGCAATGCACTTCAAGATATCAGTGCAGTTCAAATTGGACCCTTAATCTTGATAACAGCGGGTCAGAAACAAAATTTAACTAAAATTTGCATTTCAGTACAGGTTGGACCCCAAGGCACTACATCACCTGTTGGCTTCTTATAGTCTTCTGGCAAGGTTACGGCATGCGCTCAGCCCCTTCATTGAGCCATTCCTATCTGTTACTGTCTTAACTGTGTAGTCACACTCCCCCGCTGAAAGAAGATCTCAGATTGTCTTAGGCTATGCTGACATGATCAGAAGAGTGTCTACTTGTGGCTAGTTGACTGGCTGTATCTGGCTTCAAAATTGTGTATCGCTGATCTATAACAAGCTTACAAAAGGGGGCGTGGCCGGAATGTGAAGGAGACAGGACGCGTGTGAGTGAGCTCCGCTGCCCTTACCTCGATTCATCCGACTAATTCATCCTGTTGGGGGACTTTTCTGCTGCTCGGACCGCTGGGGGAACAGTGCTGGAACTCCGCTGGAGCATGCCCTCGAGATCGGGCAAGAAATCCTCCATGCCCGGGAACTTAACAAGCTTACAAATCTGAAAAATCAGACTGAATTTGGGGGTCTTAATTGGCATATTTTTTTCAAGGCCAATGGCTAAAGGTACTGAAACTATTGGATTTGCATGATGGCCAGAATACAAAGTCACTTGTGGCTGCCTTCAATAGTGTTTCTGTAGATATTTTCTTAATACAGCAAATCGCAGGGGCTCCCTTACTTGAAGCAGTGTCTCCTCATTACACATTCCTGCTGTCAGATATCTTTATGATTATGCAATCACAGAGTTTCTCAAAATCCTGAAACTGGTTTAATTTAATGTACGAGGAGGGATGTAGCGTGCATTTGTGAACTGATGCAAATAATTGAAAATCTCAGCTCTGGGTGTTGTGGGTGGGTGCAGCAGTGATGTGTGCTTGGCTGCCCTTTTAATTTCAGATACGTGTGGATTAAATGGAGCAGTATGACATTTATAATCTCTGCAGATCATAGATGTGCTGGTCCCTGGAATGGTTGGCTGTTTGTTTTTCTTTTTCCTGAGTTTGAGTGACAAGGCTTTATTTCAGTTTGCATGTGGCATAACATCATTATTTCCAGATTCAGCCAGGAGTGCCCTCTCCCCTCCGGCACTTGTGACATTTATCTGTGTAAACTCAACGCCACTTCAAAATTATTCAAGGGGTTCAAGGAAATAAAACCTATTTGTATTCCTCCTCTAGGTGTGTCGATCCATCGTCTTTCGTAGTTACCTTCCATTCTGTAGAATTCAACTAAATTCATTTTTTTTTCCACATTCATTCATATTTCTCTTCTATATTATTCCACCCTCATCCATATATATTGTTTATTCTCTGGCATTCCACCTTTATTCAAATTCCTTCTTTATTCTGTATCATTCCACCTTCATTCACATTCCTCCTACATTCTTTATCATTCCACCCTCATTTGCACCCTTTCTTTCTATATCATTCTACCATAATTCCCTTTTTTTTTCCTTCACATCCCACCTTCATTATATATACT